GATTTATTAAAATATATTAAAATATATTCGGAGCACGTAACCAGAGTTAGTAAACTATTTGAGAAACTATTCCAAAATCATAGATGGCGCTGATCGCAGGCGGTCAAATTTTTATTCGAACTGGTTACTAGATATAAATTCGACAGTAGGAAATTAATAAATTGCCAAGTTTTTGTAATTAATTCATGAAAATTTATAGCTGCGCAGCTAAGTTGGAATTATAGGCAACATTCTTATAGGATGTTTAATTTAATAATTAGTTACTAGTAAATAAGATTGCTATAAAAGTTGTTTTTCTTGTATAATATTCTTATTAAGTAATAAATATATACTGGCCTAAGAGAGAGTAAAAAATAAATTTTTTTATTAAGAAATTTTATTTACAATGTTTTCATAGGAGAAAAATAAATACAAAATAAAAAATAGATTGAAAAAATAATATTAAGTTATGAACCGGAATCGAACACAGGTCTTCGAGGATAGTAATTCTCGATTGTCATCATTACTCTACAACTCCAATTAAAGATTTTGAAGATAAAGGTATCATTTTAGTAGTAACAAAATTTTAATCGTAAATATCTCAAAAGCTGTTGAGTAGTTGTCGCTATAATGATATATTTTCTTAAACTGCATGATGATATCTACAATCCTGCAAAGTTTCAACTAAATCGGTGACCCGAAGGACTTGCAATCTCCTTGTCAGATTAGGTAGAAAGAACATAGATTGCGCCTGGAGGTCGCCTAACTCCACATGACGCGCGGACGAATAAATAAACCAACAAAACGACATAAATAACTAACACACATTCCCCTGCCTTCTTTTTGTTCACTTAAGAATCCCATAAAGTTTTCTACATTCCTTAATAAATTTAGCCAAAAACAGTGGTTTTAATTAGACAATCAGCATTCATTTCTTTATCTGGCAGACGACAAATATCCAAAGGTACGCCTTTACAACGCAATTATAAAAGTTCATAAATTAATCACAGAAATTAAGTGATTTATTAATTTTTTTACAAGTGAAGAGGAGAGTGCATAGGAAATGAGAAAAAATTGCAAACAAATGCTGGAAGCATTGTCGTGTACATGCAGGTGTACCTGCATAACACAAAAGAATGTAAGTCTTTGTATTAACACAACCTTCAGTTGTAATTAAATAGTGTAAGTTATGAGCCTTTGTTTTTCCACCTTTTATTAGTGATAGCAGAGCTTGGTTGTGAAGAGACAATATTCTGTTAAAATAATCAGGCATGTGCAACAGTAGAAAAATATTGGACGCATGGAATATCACCAGCATGGAGTCATGAGATGCCAAAAATTATATTTTATATTTATATTTATTGAATTATATGTTATATATTATTGCGAGAAAAAATTTATGGAGCAATACAAATATGTTATAATATAAGTATTGTATTCTAGGTCAGTTAACGACATAACATACAAGATAGAAATCTTTGATAGTCAAATGAAGATTCAAAAAATGGAGATTGCTTAGGCAGACCAATAGGAATGAAATTAATTTAGGTGATGTCCTCTTATAACAACTAAGTATAGAGAATATACTGAGATTGAGAGGTATGTTGTATTCCTGATCTAAATAAATATTAATATCTGTGGTCAAAGTCAATGATCATCGCTAATGTGTTATGTTTCAGAATTATGGAGTTAAGGTAGATAAAGGAAAGAGAGTGGTTGGAAAGAAAGCAGTGAGAAGGGGAACGGCATATTATGTCAAATCAAGAAACATAAAAGAGGCAGTATGTGCATCAAGAGAGAAGGATGTATGGCATCGACATGCAAATATGAGGATCATGGAAGAGATGGAGAATGGATACTTGGTAATAGGTATGAAGATAAAGATAAATTGAATATAGAGTCTGAATGTTGCTAAATGATAAATGTAGAAAATTGAATCTAACAATAAAATGGTAAATGATTTTTAGTTTTTCTAAATTGTGTGTAGAAAAATTCAGTGTGTGATAGATCTATTCTGTAATTCACTTTTTTATACTATGTAATATAGTTACATAATTAAATACATGAGCATTATGACCATCTTTATTAATTATACTGATAAGAAATTCTATAAATGCGCGAATAAAAACGTACGGAATCATTATTGTTTATTACATATATAATATATATGTAAGTTTATATAAATATATTATAAAATTTGTTATAAATGCAAATTTTAGTCTAATTTAGGATTGGTGATAGGTATGTGCTATAGGGTCCCTTTGGTTAATATCAATTTCAGCCACTAATTGTTTTTTTAACTTTAAAAAATTATTTTAAAGACTTGTATGTTAAAAACTATTGTTATGAGAAAGTAAATGACTTTTCTGTGTGAAAAAATAATTGTACGTATTGTTATTGCAAATTATACGAAGCATATATTTGCAATAAACTATGTAATAATGAATCTTCGGAAAATCGGTTAAGTTTGTGGATTTACGTTTGACCTCTGGCAACAGTACCCCGGTTCATATAGGCACTTGGCGGTCACAGGGCACGTCAGTTGTTTCTCGGCCGTCATAACGTGTACATCGAAATTTGAAATGCCTAAATTAACTTAATTATCTATTTTTCACTTATAATAATTTATTTAATTAATTTATTTATGTTTAACTTTTGATAATTCATTAAATTTATTTATTTTTAAATTTTAATAATTTATTCATTCATTTATTTTATTTTTAATAACTTATTTAATTGTTTATTTATTTTTGATTTTTAATAACTTATTTAATTGTTTATTTATTTTCAATTTTTAATAATTTATTTTATTTATTTATTTTTAGCATTTAATCGTTTATTTAATTTATTTATCTATATTTAACATTTAACAATTTATTTACTTAATTATTTCACTCATTTTTTATCTCTGATTATCTATTTAATACTGAAATAAATATTGTATGTTTTATTTTTTTAATTTTATTAGTGTTAGTGGACATTAAATATTTTTATCGCAATATTTTTTCTCGATACTCGATTATTTTATGTCGAATACTGTGATACTACTCTAAAGTGGTAAAGGATCTATAGTTTTTCTCAATTGCGTGATAGAAAAATTCAATGTACGATAAATCTATTTCGTAATTCATCTTTGTATATTATATGTAAAATACACATAGTTTCTGGTTTGGCACTTTGACATGTTTCACGGTTTCATTAGCAGATGGCAGTAGCTACAAATTCTTAACATTTGTTTTTATTATAAATTTTCAAAACTCTATAATAGTCCATTGTGTATGTAAAGAATTTAATTAAATTAAAACATGATGAATATCCACTTCTATCTATTTACGTCACTTTGTAAGAGCTTTTATTTTACAGACTTCTGTGTTCCTTTTAAGAGAAGTTCGATAGATGTCGCTACCAATAATTTTCGGCGCTATGTAAGTATTAAAATAAAGTTCCTTTCATTATAAACTGAGAATCATTTATTCTTCACATCAAATATTTAGTAGGGAAAACAAAACCACTACAGAACTTTATTTTAATACTAACATATAATCACAGTAAGAGATGTCATTGCATATTGGTGGCGACTTGTTTGAACCCTTCGGGCAAGATTCGCCAGATGTCACTATGTGCGCCTTTTCCGCCACAATTTCTTTTTCTATGAACCCCCAATTATTCATTCTTCATATCAAATAGTTAGTAGGGAGAACAAAATCTGTATCGTGGTTCCATTGTGTCCTTTTATTCATGAATTAGTAACAACATAAACCGAGTATATGGTAGCAAAGCTTACGTATCAAAAATATATTTAACTTAAACAAAAATTATTATACTTCCTACATCAAATAAGAACCTTGTAAATTTTTCACAAGAATAATTACGTATAAGTGCAAAACGTAGCTAGGACATAGCCAAGTCTACATAAGCGTGCAATGGCACGTTACCAACGAATATTTTTATAATTTAAGATAAGAATGAATCTCCTAACATTTTTAGTTTTCATGGTGCCTCCATTTTAATAAAAAATCGTGCATTTTTAGAAAAACTCATATTTTTCGAAAACTGAGAGTGATAAAGCAATTTCGTTTGCGGATTTGTATTCAGGAAGATAAGCTCTGCAAGTCGCACAATCAAAGTGCCAATATGGATATTACATATCTGAGAAAAAATTATGATTTGTTGGACAGTATTATTAGTGAGTTTAAGGAAAGAAGAATTTCTCGCATTTATTTTAATTAGTACCAGTATAAATAAAAAGAGTAGTGCAAGTTTCAATTTCTTATGTTTTCTTTGTTGAAGTATCTTGAGATTACTAAATACCCGGAAGGAAGATAACGATGATGATACGATAGGAATTGTGAAAAATAAATAAACATCTGACAAAAGAATAGAAAGAATGCTGAGCATATATTTATGCACATGAAGTAAACTTAGATTGATACAAATAAAAAATATTCCAATAAATGTTAATAACAAATAAATTATCTTATACTTACCACTTCTACTTTCTTAACAATAAACATATGCAAATTATAACATCGCATGCACAACGAAATTAAAGGTTATGATGTCATCCTCTCATATATAATAGGGTTGTAATCGTATATAATTATTCGGCACAATAATGTTCGCGATTAAATCGCCAGCAAAGAAATCACGTTTCAGTGAACAAGCAAGGAAACTATTTTCTTTTTCCCAACATACTGAAACTGCAGTTTATTTGCCTGACATCTGGACAAAGGTCGTCTCTGGTCTGTTGCAGTGCACTTTTTACGAACAGCAGCCAGCATGAAGCGTATAATACATCGTCCAGAGAATATAGGATGACCACAACAAAATTAAATAATATTATCGATTCACGATAACGTTTAATTATTTAGAAACATCGATAAACATAAATATCATTTAGACACAACAGTTTTGTAAATAGAATAATAACGTTTAAAACAATACTCAAATTATACACAAATTTATTGTATACGCCATATTTGAAAGTTTTAAATTATAATAATAATACAAAATACGAAATATGAAGGATATATATTTTATTATTCCACTTTGTTAAAATCGGTTGTAATGGTAACAGAAATATACGTCTTTACATTCTTCCTCGTGCATTTCTTTGTTGGAAAAACAATACTACTGACTTAGCATAAATCATGTTTATAAATGTTCCTGAATTGGATTATCCACGGTTATGACAGTCCTGTCGATTTTGTATAGGATAGTCACAAGTCCCGATGTTTGGATTAAATTCCGTTCCTGTGCCACAAGTTAAGACAAAACAACCACTACCGTCACATTGTTGATACTTCGTGCAATCGCCCGGATAAGGGTAGACTTCTCCCTAAAATTAATTGAATTTTTTTATTTGTATTAATTCAAATACTATTAAATAGTTTATATTGATTGAAATGCGTTCGTATTATAGATATGGGCATATACTTGATATAAATTATAAATTTCCTATTCGTTTATTTTTTCGTTACAGTCAAAACATTTCATCTATACTAATTTATCTTATAATATTCCTATTTTCGACAACGATATTCCAATATTATAAATACAATTTAATCCTAGGTTATCAGAATTATTAGAAATAAGAATGATTAAAAAATTAATATGTTTGTATAATTGTAAAATATAATACAAAATACGCACGGATGTTAATTCACAGAAAAAAACGGCACAAAAAATGATGCACAATAGATATGTAGAGGATTTGATGTTAGCCATAACTTCCACTGTGGATTGCTTCTCGAATCTGCAAATCCGTTTCTCAAAGTGAGTACTTTACTAATGAAATGGATTTTATATATGCTGTATCTTATAAGTACAAATAAAGCACATGATTTAATGCGCTATCTGTAAATGAAATTTTTTCTTGACTACATTTTTGTTTTCATAAACTAGTATTTGCAAGATGACATTTTTTACGACCTTAGTTCAATGACACGCTTAGGGTCAAAGGTGCGGATAACAGATCGATTATAGTCATTCTAGGAAGAAAATCTTAAAATAAAATAAACGTATTTAGGATTTTATACATTAATTATTAATAATGTTTTTTAACAATATATTAATAATTATTTTTTATTCCTTTTGAAATAAATTATACTATTACATTTAATATAAAAGAAATATGTTTCTTTTCGTTATTACGTTTATGGTAAAGATCTTTTTAAACGAAATAGATGTAATAATCGTTTTTGTAATTCTATATATGGACGTCGAAATTCTTTATCAGATTTTGGTATCCTTCCTAGTCTACGTATTTTTGGAGACATCAGCAGCAGATTTTGTAATATTGCATAGAAATTACAACTAATCCAGAATAGACATAAACACTGAAATATTTCATTTGTAAACTTTAGCATAATAAACATTAAAAAACGGTAAATTAATTGTTTGCTTTCACAAAATATATGTGCAACGTACCGATGGTAAGCATGCTATAACAGGCACAAAACAAACTATAACTATTCTAGCGAAATTCCTATATATTCTAGTAAACTTTGTATCATTTATGTGAAATAATATTTGATTTATCTGAAAGATATATGGCATTAAAATCATATTAATGTTTAAGTTAAAAGACATACTTTTATACATACCTCCATTAAGGCTAAATTAGTAAGCCCAAAAAATAAAGGTAATATAAAAAAGTGATCTATGTCTATAAGGTTTTGTATCCACAAAAAGCCACTGCTGCTCAATTCACTGAAATCCCTAAAGGTAGCTAAGATTAAACTTTTTAAAGTTTAGTTCTGTTATTATCATTGAATTAAAAATTCTATATAAAAAGATGTTTTATTCACCAGTATTCGCTTGAGGTAATACAAAACACATATTTCTTATTGCGACAGAGAAGCCAACCCATACTGGAGCTTGTAATAATATCACTGCAATAGTCTTAAATGGATGACAGTTTTCTCTTAGATATAATTCCTTTTGTTTTTTACGAAACTATTATAAACAGGAAACAAATTATTTTATAAACCTTTTTAATTTTGATCATTAGTTTATATTCACAAATATAAAAACAGAGATAAATACCTCTCGTGTAAAAAGCATAATTGTAGCTGCTGGAGACAACTGATGTCTTACTGCTTCGTTCTGAACTTTTACTTTTATTCTGTCTGCAAATTCCTGCAGTTCATTTTGTAAGTTTTCTTGTTTTGCTCTATTTTTAAGCTAAAATAAATATTATTTAAGGAATAGATATTTATTTTTCACAAAATAAACTACAATTAGAACTTTTCTTTATTAAAGAGTAATGATACTTACGTCAACTATATTCAATGGAAAATTTATAATTGACCTTGCAATAATTGTTGTAAGTACGATACTTGCCCACCAAGGTAAACCCACTTGATAATGCATTAATCTCAAAGCTTCTGTAATCCATTCTACTATCTTGCTTTCAGAAATCATTTGAAATATGCCACTGTTATACCGAGCAATATCATTTATAATCATAGTTGATGAAGATATATATCGTCCAGTAAGATAATAATTTGGAGAAATTCTTGTGCTTAGTACAGTATCTTTATCATGTAGTAAAGGTCCATTAAGAACTTTTGATAGTACTTGCTGATGTAAAAATGCATTTGGTGCATTTGAGAAATTTCGCTCATTTGAAAAATAATCCACTAATACTTTATTATTACAAAAAAGATTTTTATTTACATTCAGAAAGGAAGTGTTGGAAACATAATGAATAGAACGAGAATATTTAATAGAAATACTATTGGTACATTTAAAATCTAACAGAATTTGTCTAAACATTCGAACATTCATTATAACACAATAACAATGAACTTACAAGTATAACAAAATCGCGTTTTTCTTGGAGCATTTACATTTATATAAATGCAGGAAATAGGTTAGGTTTCCGCTAACCTTAGTTAAATAATGAATTTGTATAATTTCTATTATTTATTATTTTTAAATGCATTTAATATTAAGACAAATATTAACATGTTATACGTACTTATTTAATAAATAAATAATGTAAATTATATGTTTTAGAAAATATGAATATCATATGGATATAATTAGTCAATAAAAATTAAACTTATAATATTCCAACAATTTATTCAAATATTTTAACATTATTATTGTATAATTTCTGTCAACTAATCCAAAATTCAAAAATTAACAAAGGATATCGAATTATAAAATCAAATAGAAACCACCGGCTAGTACCTTTTGTAGATAACGACGGCAATAATATAAGTAACATGTGTTTAAAATGCAAAATAGTTTCAATAATTTAATGATATTAGATTTTCATTAATTATAATAAAAATAATTTTTCCTATTACTATATTTCATTTTAGAATTATCATCTGCTGCAACATAGTTATCATCTGTAGTTATTTCTTGACACAATGGTAACACTTAAATTCGTTTTGTAAGATAAGTGACAAACTATTAGAGATTAATTTTTCACGTTATTTTCGTAATTTCGTACTTTATCGTTACAAGAGTACAATTAAAAATATCTTGAATAACAAATAAATGGATTGCTATTGATTTATCATTATTTAAACAAAACTCATAAATAACAACTCGCAGTTCACCATAGATCGAAACGTACAAACATCGGTATCACTATCCAAGACATTTCTTCCAAATTAAAGTATCTTTTCGATCAAATGAACAACTAACATGCTCAAAATTTGCTACATACACATTATTACATAATAATTATGAGATAACTTAAAAAATTACCTCCCTCCCCTCCACCTCCACCAAATCGGTACTATACTCTATTTGATACAAATCATAAGTACATAAGTATTTACTACATCACTCAGGCATCGTTACAGATGAGATATAGCAATTCGCAAAAACAGTACTCGTTAAGCCAGCCCAAACGCCACTCACCTACAGATAGGAAATGAAAAGAGGAAAAAGAAATAAAAGAAAAAAGAAATCAGATAAAAGCGAGGACATCCACATCACATAGTCCACGAAAGTTTCTCGAATCGAAGCGCAATGTTCATTTCAGGATTCGGGGGATGAAGGGAGGAGAGGTCATGCGTCGAGTATCTTTGCATTAACATTTACCATCCCTTCTTTCACGCAAACCGCAGTTCTCGCATCATCGTGTCGATTTGCAGCCACCCCTTCGCCCAGAAACCGGAAGAAACGTCGGCATAACATCTGATCGACAAATGGCATCGCCGCCCTAACAGGCACCTACGACGTCGTTCTAATCTCGAGGCAGCGGTTGGTCGTCGAGATCCACGCTCTTTTCCGTCGTCGAATGGGCGTGCTGGAAACGCCCATCCACCCTTGCTACATAGATCTGCACCCCTGTGCCGTCTCAGGGGTGGAGTCGACCAATGACACGGTGGTAACGTTCGTCTGACAACGTGGCCTTTGGAGCCGCCCCCGCATTTCCCGTGGCTAACTAGCACTACCCCACTATAGTCGCATCAGCCACTCGGCCAGCAAGTCCCCGGGCCGTCTAGCCGCCCGTTGGAATTCCCCACCTATCCTCCTGTCACCTTCCTCTGACCCCTCTTCATCAGTCCTACCACCCCCTATTTCAGGCCAACGTACCAGCCACATCGAAGATGTGGTATACATCGTGCAATAGCCTGACTAAAGCCGCACCTAGCGATGGTTATGACTTCGCTTCAGCTTCGAGAAAGTCGAATAATTAGACTTGCCGGAGACAGGGGAGATGGTCAGGGGGGATGTTGGAGAAATTTGATGCCAGATTTAGGATTCATCTGCTTTCGTATTTAGATTACGAGTTAGGTTAGTATGAAGAACGTTGCGTACACTGTGATAAAAAATATTTGTATTTTCTTTGACACGTGTAAGTAGATCTATCAGTGATTAGACATGTCTAGATATATTAATTTCTTTCCACTATACCTGTTGTGCTATTTCCTTGCTCATCGCATAACGTACCTACTTATATCATGCCAAATATAGAAAATACAAAGAATCTCAAAGAACTCCATCTCTTCTAAACCCTGTTTTAAAATCAGAAACTTGAAAAACTGAATCTAAGTTTCTGACATAGGTATTCGTACACTATGTCGCAAAAAGGTTCACCTAACTTAAAAGTCCGATTTTAATAAAAGTTCATGCAACAGGACATCTCTTCAAGTGTGTAAAATCAAGTTTCGAAGACATCCGTAGATTACCAATGATATTCCGTGCAACAGAATGACACGTCTCTGCAGCGAAATACGTGTCGCAAAGCTCATGCAAGGTTCCAAGTGCTGAATAAGAAGAAAAGAAAGAAATCCACGAAACTCGTAGCAATTCCTCTAAAGAAGAACCCAGAACGCGAGACGATCGAGTCTTTCGCTATTTCCTTGTCGACGTCATAGCTACGCCGACTCGTGGCCGTTTAGGAACTTCTGTACGTGTGTTAGGCGTCGCCCACACCCCGGCCAGCCACCCTCTCCTAGAAGCACGTCGAGCGTGTTGAAGAACGACCCGTGATTCCAGCTAGTATGGCTACGGTCAGGGGAGATAGGTAACTCCGACAGCCAATCGGGCAGCAGCCCCTATATACGTGCGTACACGGACGTACAGACGCACCGTGCACACACCGATGCGACCAGGCCCGTACATGAACAGCGATCGCGGTACCCGCCCTTCCCGGCGAGATGAGTAGCTACGCCGAGGCTCGAAGCCACCCCGTCACGGAGAACGCTTCGAGACTTCGCGCGACTCCCTCGGCGTCGTGTCGGCAACGACCACCGGTCCAGTCGTCCGTCTGGGGATGCTCGACTTTGATCAGTCGCGAAGGATGGGCACAGGTCAGTTCGATAAAGCGTGCCTCTCTTGCTTTTCTCGCCGGTGATACGTAGGAGTGGTTCGCCAGCCCCCGATGCGGCCACGCGGTGCTAAGAAGACAGTGACACGCGTGTCTCTTGTTTTGCTTTTACTTATCATCATTATGATTTCGTATGTCGTCGGTAAACGAGGACTTTCGTTTTGTTCTTGTTTTTTGGTATTTTTTTTTTTTTTTTTTTTTTTTTTTTTTTTTTTTTTTTTTTTTTTTTTTTTTTGTTTGGAGGTTCTTTATTGGACGGTTTTTGACTCTGGATGACTTGGTGACTTGACAGTTCGGCTTGTCGACGTTTGACCGATTTGGGTGCGCGTTAAAATGGTTCCGTTTTTGGAGAATTCGGTTTGTTTTTCGGTTTTGAGCGGTTTTCGAGGATACTTCGCTTCCGTTTTCGACGTGCACTGCCGGTTCTGGTTGGTGTTTGGTGGTTGACTTATGAAACTCATGGCTTGGGATTAGTGATTGGTTAGGAATTAGACTGTTTATTCTGGATAAAAGAGCGGTTTTGAGCGGTTATCTTCGGTTTGTATTGGATAGACATTTTTGGTGTCATTTTAGATCGTGGATTTTGAACAAAATTGTTTGTGGTTCAATTCGATTTTTGTTCAGAAAATTAAGTGATGGTTTCGAGAAATATGGCTGGAAACTTTGTGCATTTACTTGGAAATAATTCGTGGCTCGATATTTTTTGAGATATATTCAGGAAATCGGTTAGTTCTGATGCTTCTGAAATTTTTATAATAAATAATTTTTCGTGCTAATACATAACTACATTCTTCTACGCTGCATTCAACCCCTTTTCAACGATTGAAATTAACGTGTTTATAAAATTCTTTGTCGAATATTTAATATTCATACTATTATTAATTATTCTCCTTTACATATTCATATATATACATTTCTGTGATAGAAACAGCATGATTAATATATCAATTTTGAAATGATAGTGTAACGTGTAGTATTATACTATTTAATTCCACTTAACATTATGTAACCATTTAATTTAGCAATTTAATAAATTCCAAAAAATATAGAAGATACAGATAAAATTCACTTTGCTACCAATCTTAAATAAAACAAAGACAAAATACTTAATAATTACTTTTCCTTTAAATTAATTCCAAACAAATAGTTTCCCAAATATTATACAATATAGAACTGCCAAATTCTCTGATATTTCAAAAGAAATTACACTAATTTCAATCGTGAAAGGGTTGAATACATTCGTATGATCGATCATCGGAATCCTCTTTCAAAGATCGGAGACACTTAATCCCAAGATCTATCGAAATCGTTTATAGTTTAATCAACGCGTAGGACACATAAGACAACGTTGGCTAGGTATAAGCGTGAACGTCGAAGGAGGTAATCTGTTGGGGTTGAAACTGATCGGGTTAGGTTGGTAGGTTTTTGGTGTGAGAAGAAGGTGGTTGGTTCCCCAGGCCAGAAACGGAAGCTTTGGTTGGCTTAGGCATGGCCGTGTTTTTCTTGCCGCGGATCATTAGGACGATTAGGGTTCCTCCGAAAAGGGGGAGAACAGATTAACGCTCGAGCTCTTCTTGCGGTCCGCTTTGCTTTCTTAAACGGAGTCCTCTTTCCGCCAGCTTTTCACGTTTTTAAGTTCTCCGATTTCTCTTGTGTGCAACGATACCTCTCACGATGGATTAAACGCATGGTCCAACTCCTCCTGGGATGAAATCGAAAAATTTCATGCGACAGAAATTTGTAGTAGACAATGTTTTGAAGAGTTTTGGATCATAATTGAAAATGAAAATTCAATTTTCCTCGCTTCATTTCTTTAGATGTTCTGTGTTAATTAATGCAGATTATGTCTTATAATTGATAGTCCTTAGCAGTCTATTTTCCTAGAAAAGCAATTTTATTACTGTAATTATCATAAAGCTGTTAAGAATAATATAGTCCCTAGAAATAATATAATTCGTAAAATATATATATATAATAAAGTTTAACAAGA